ATGGTTGGGATAACGTCAAAAGGACGTCATCTGCGAACAGGTTGAATTTGTATTCTTTGTCTCCTATATTTATGCCATGTATATTTGGATTACGTCCGATGGCTTCTGCGAGGGGTTCCAGGGCTAGGACATAGAGGAGTGGTGACAGGGGTCACCCCTGCCTAGTCCCATTTGTGATGTCGAATGGGTCTGATTGGAACCCTGAGGATGATACAGCAGCGTTCGGACGGCTGTATAGGGCTTTGAAGGCAGTCAGGTAAGTGAGGGGGAAGTCGAATTTTTTTGAGGGTAGCCTCCAGGAATTGCCAATTCAGTCTGTCAAAGGCTTTTTCTGCGTCTATGGAGATTGAGTCCTTGTTTCCGGTCCATGTGTATCATCTGTATAATGTCTATCACTTTTCGTGTATTGTCTGAGCCTTGCCTTCCGTGCACAAAGCCCACTTGGTCGTTTGAGATAAGGGAGGGGAGGATGTTTTTGAGTCAGTTAGCTAGTATTTTTGCATATATTTTGGTGTCTGAGTTTAGTAATGATATAGGGCGGAAGTTTTGACAGTGTGTCAGTGGTTTTCCCGGTTTCGGTAGGGTAATTATTTTAGCTGCCAGGTACTCCGTTGGGAAGTTCCCTGTCTGGATGGCATGGTTGAATGCCCTGTTGAGATGTGGGGCCAGGTGTGGTGCGAATTTCTTATAGTACTCGTTCGTAAAGCCATCTGGGCCTGGTGCTTTCCCTAGGGGTGTGGATGTTATGCAATCCAAGTTTTCGTTCTCTGTAATGGGGGCTTCCAGGAGTTGCTGCTGGGTACCAGAAAGGGTTGGCAGCGAGATGTCTGTTAGGTAGAATTGTATGCCTGCTTCTGTGGGTTGTGGGGTGTTCGGATCTTTAAAGAGGTTGTATAGTTGGCTGTAATATTGGGCAAATTCTTTACATATGTCTGAGGCTAGGTGGACTTTATGGCCCTTTTTGTTTATGATATGGGCTATCCGTGTTTGTTGCTGTCTTTCTCATAGGCGTTGTGCTACAAGCTTGCTGGCTCTATTACCTTGGACGTATGTGCGAGTGTTTAAGCGCTTTAGCATGAGGCCGAATTTGTGGAGTCTGGTCTCATTGTGTTTGTTTTGGAGTGCATTGATTTGTGTTTTATGGTCTGCTGATGGGTGTTTTTGGTTGTCTTTGTGAAGCTCTGCTAGTTGTTGTTGGTATTGTGTTGTTTCTTTTTCTGTTAGTTTTTTTAGATATGTGGCTCTGCTTATCAGTGTGCCCCTTAGTACTGCTTTGTGTGCAAGCCAAATCGTGTGGGGGTTCAGATCATTCGAGGCATTAGTGGTAAAGTAGTTGTGGAGGTCGTTTTCTAGGGTTGTGCAGTATTGTGTGTCTTTGAGTAGATCGCTAATGTTAGTGTCGTTGGTGCATGATCTGACCAGTCAACATTTAGGATGTCGCATTCCATTATGTTGGTCATTGTGGATTCATGCGTAAAGCATCCGTCAATTCTAGAGTATGTGTTATGTACTTTGGAATGGTGTGTGTAGGCCCTTTCTGACGGCTGGAGGGCCTTCCACACGTCTCTCAGTCCATATGTGGATAGTAGATTCCTAAGGCTTCTACTTTGTTTTTTCAGGGTTTTGTAGTGGGGCGACGTGGGTGGCCTAGTTGAGTCTAATAGTGGGTCCAATACATGGTTTATGTCCCCGCTCATGACTAGGGTGCCTTTCCTCATCTTTTCAATTTTAGTGAGGACCCCGTGCAAAAAAATTATTTGGTTGGTATTTGGTGCGTATATATTCGCCAGTGTGTAGTCTATATCGTTAATTGTGCAGTGCCATATGATGTATCTCCCTCCTGGGTCTATTGATTGGTTGTGTGATATTACTGTAAGGTCCTTGCTGAGGAGAATGGACACGCCTCGAGATTTCCTCGGGGTGGTGGCATGTGCTTGGTGAGGGTATATGTTTGGGCTTATGTGGGGGTAAGCCTCGGTTCGAAAGTGCGTTTCTTGGAGATATACTATGTCTGCCTGTCTCCCTACCCAGAATGTGGCGCTTATGTGGGATATTCAGTCCCTGTACATTATGAGAGTATATTTTTAGACTGAATGTGTATGGTTTTTGGATTTGCTGACTTGGTCTTTGTTGTCTCGGATGGTGACTAGTGGCGGGTTGCCGCCCTTGCTCTGGGTATAGGTGTGGCGGTTTATCCCTTCTCGGTTCTATAAGGCGATTGTGTTGTATTTGTGGAGTGTTAACCCTGCCTTTGTGTGTAGTGCATACAGAGATATGTGGCGTGTTTTGCCTTTGATCATAGGTGTATCGAAAACATTTAACATATTTACAACAACATAAACATAACAGTTTTTAAAACTTGACCATTGTGTCCTGGTCGTCCGTCAGGGCGCAGTTTATCCAGCTAGTTCCTCCCACTAGCTTTCCCTATCTGGGGGGTTGGAAGTCCAGTTCTGGCCTGCAGGCCGTTCCAGTGGTCGCTGCTCCAGGCCAGCGGCTCTAATCTATTCTACCTTGGAGATACTTTTTGAGGGTTGTCCATCTCGGGAGGTCTGTCATGTTTGGAGAGGCAGAGAGGTCGTATCTCCAGTCTTGTGCTCACAACTTGGAGATGCTCACTCACTATCACTTACACACACACAAAATCACTCACTATCAGACACACAATCTCACTCACTATCACGTACACACACACACAAGCATACTCCCTATCAGGCGCACACACACACACACACTCAAGCTCACTCTCTATCAGGCACACAAACAAGCTCACTCACTATCAGGCACACCCACAAGCTCACTCACTATTCGGCACAAAGAATACATACAAGCTCACTATCAGGCACACACACACACAAAAGCTCACTCACTAGCAGGCACACACACAAGCTCACTTACTAGCAGGGAAAAACACACACACACATACAAGCTCGCTCGCTAGCAAGCACACACACACAAGCTTACTCACTATCAGGCACACATACACACGTTCGCTCACTTTCAGGCACACGAACACACACACAACCTCACTCACTATCACGTACACACACACACAAAGTCATTCACTATCAGGAACACAAACACACACAAAATCTCACTCACTATCACGTACACACACACAAGCATACTCCCTATTAGGCACACACACACTCAAGCTAACTCACTATTAGGCACACACACACAAGCTCATTCACAATCCGGCACAAAACACACACACACACAACCTCACCCACTAGCAGCAACATGCGCGCACACACACACAAGCTCACTCACTAGCAGGCACACACACACACACACACAAGCTCACTTATTAGCAGGCATAGAAACTTAGAAACATAGAATGTGACGGCAGATAAGAACCATTCGGCCCATCTAGTCTGCCCAATTTTCTAAATACTTTCATTAGTCCCTAGCCTTATCTTATAGTTAGGATAGCCTTATGCCTATCCCACGCATGCTTAAACTCCTTTACTGTGTTAACCTCTACCACTTCAGCTGGAAGGCTATTCCATGCATCCACTACCCTCTCAGTAAAGTAATACTTCCTGATATTATTTTTAAACCTTTGTCCCTCTAATTTAAGACTATGTCCTCTTGTTGTGGTAGTTTTTCTTCTTTTAAATATAGTCTCCTCCTTTACTGTGTTGATTCCCTTTATATATTTAAATGTTTCTATCATATCCCCCCTGTCTCGTCTTTCCTCCAAGCTATACATGTTAAGATCCTTTAACCTTTCCTGGTAAGTTTTATCCCGCAATCCATGAACCAGTTTAGTAGCCCTTCTCTGAACACTCTCTAAGGTATCACACACACACACAAGCTCACTCACTAGCAGGCACACACACACAAGCTCACTTACTAGCAGGCACACACACAAGCTCACTCACTAGCAGGCACACACACACAAGCTCACTTACTAGCAGGCACACACACAAGCTCACTCACTAGCAGGCACACACACACAAGCTCACTTACTAGCAGGCACACACACAAGCTCACTTACTATCAGGCACACACACACGTTCACTTACTATCAGGCACGCGCACACACACTCAACTTCACTCACTATCACGTACACACACACAAAATCACTCACTATCACGTACACACACACAAGCATATTCCCTATCAGGCGCACACACACACACACACTCAAGCTCACTCACTATCAGGCACACAAACAAGCTCACTCACTATCAGGCACAAAAAAACACACACACAAGCTCACTTACTATCAGACACACACACACAAAAGCTCACTCACTAGCAGGCAAACACAAGCTCACTAACAGGGAAAAACACACATACAAGCTCACTCTCTAGCACACACACACACAAACTCACTCACTATTAGGCACACAAACACACAAGCTCACTCACTATCAGGCACACATACACACAAACTCACTCACTATTACACACACACACAAACTCACTCACTATTAGGCACACATACACACATTCACTCACTATCAGGCACACACACACACAACCTCACTCACTATCATGTACATACACACACACAAGCTAACTCACTATCAGGAACACAAACACACACAAAATCTCACTCACTATCACATACACACACACAAGCATACTCCCTATTAGGCACACACAAGCTCACTCACTATCAGGCACACAAACATGCACTCACTATCAGGCACGCACACATACACACACACACACACACACAAGCTCACTCACTATCAGACACACACACAGAAAATACATAATCCAGCGCACTTGCTTATTCACTAAACAATGATTTCTAATCTTACAAATTGTAATAGTTTTATTTAAAAAAACCTCACCTAGGCAAAAAATAATGGGGGTTTAGTTACATTATATGATCATACATTGCATAAGCCTGCCATAACGTCAGTGTACCCCATATTTGGCAGGTCCTACTCTAGCAGCCTAATGCTTGTTCTTATGAGATTAATCCACTTAGTTGGAAAATACAAGCTCACTCACTATCAGGCACACACACACAAGCTCACTCACTATTAGTCTCTCTTTCTCTCTTAAACAGAGAATTAAGTCTCTCGGTGAACCCGGCTGTATTCCAGGTGTATGACTTTGGCCTTGGCTGGAAGGCGCATAGAACTAAGCAGCCTGTGAATGAAGTGTGATATCTGAGCGTCAACTACGTCTTCGGGGACACCTCTGACTTGCAGGTGTTGTTGCTGCTTTGAGTCCTCCAAGACACCTAATCTGCTCTCCATAGTGAGGATGGCCTGCTTCAGCTTGTCTACCTCAGCTTTCAGGTCATCTTGCTTGCCTCTGATGGTGTCACTATCCCCTTCCAGCGCTCGCAACCGGGCTGTTATAACCCCCATATCCTCTCTCACCAGCTCAATGTCAGCTGCAAAGAAGACCTTCATCTTGGCCTCTGCTTTGCTGGCAGGTATCAGGTCTGGGCGAGTTTCGGGGTTTGCTCTCCCAGACTTCTGTCTCCTGTCTGCGGGTAATGGGGATTTGCTAGTGTCTCCCAGCTGGGCAGTATAGTGAGGATCGTCTCGACTGCTGTCCTCTGAGGCGTAGTCAAAATCTTCCCGCGTAAGCGCTGTGATTCTGAGCAGAGCCACAATATCTTTGGACAATGAGACTGTATCGCCCCTGTGGAGTTTGGTTTTCTTCTGGGAGTCAACTGAACCTATTTTGGCCACACACCGCTTTTATGCACAAACCCCTACATGGGGTCTCCCATACAATAATACAGGGCTTTTCTTTCTAGGATCTTCTGTGCCTGAGAGATAATTGCGTGAGAAAAAGCTATAACCCAGTTATTTCTCAGGTACAGAAAAATTTACAATATTCTAAATCACCCTAAAAATACATTTGAATAACTTTAGAACCCCAAATTTATGTCACTGAATAGTTTGGATCTGATCACACACTTTGCCAAAATATCACTCAGATCCCTTTATTGGTTCGTGAACGTTATTCAAATGAAGTGTTGACCGGTCGGCAAGGAGGTGACGCCCCAAAACAGTTCCCGAGAAAACAAGGCAACGACCAGTCATCTTTCAGGAGTTCTCGCACGAACACTGATGAATCCATCCCCTTGCTGTTAGGATATGAATGCTCCCCCTGTTTGTTAGTTTCTGCCTCCCGAACGTCGTTCTCTTAACTGTTCGGGAAGTTGGATGGGCAGCAGTACCAGTTTCCCGGGTGTTCGCAGGATCATGTATCCGAAAAGAGTTCCACGTGGTCGACGACCATGTACCGCTGCTCGTGTTTAGGAGACAAGATGGCACACGGGGAAACACTTGTTCTAATAACCAATTTGTGGTTAACAGCCAGGGGTGGTCAGTACTAAAAAGGTGCAAACAAGGGGACCACACAGAGTTGGTTCAGTAAACGACCGGAGGTGTACGGACAGCCAAACAAAAGTGTATTTAGACCATCCATTGTGCCCCCCCCTTAACCACAAGCCAGCATACACAGTCTAATCCCTAACTGATAGGCTTGGGGTTGTCTGGGGACTACTCACGGATCACTTTTCCAGTTCAGTTTGTTGAGATAACCTGTCGACATTGCCATTCTGCTTCCCTGGGTGGTATTTAATAGTAAAGTCATACAGTTGTAACGCCAAACTCCAGCACAACAACGGGGCATTGTCCCCTGCCACTTGGTTTAGCCATACTAATGGGTTGTGAACCACAAGTAGGGTAAACTGCTGTCCAAACAAATATGGCTGGAGTTTCTTTAGGGCCCACACCACAGCCAGGCATTCCTTTTCTATAGCTTACCTCCCTGGGTAGAAGTTTCCTGCTCAGGTAAGCTATGGGATGTTCTCCGCCATCTTCTCCAACCTGGCTCAGTACCACTCCCAATCAAAACATGGAAGCGTCTGTGTGAACAAGAAATAATTTAGATGGATTGGGAGCAGCTAGCACAGGACTATTAACAAGGGCCTGCTTGAGCTGTTGGAATGCCTGCTCGCAAAGTGGGGCCCATACTACTTGGCGGGGTAGGGTCTTTCTGGTGAGATCAGCGAGGGGTTAGGCTTAGGTGCTATAGTTTGGAACATATTTCCGGTAGTAGCCGGCTCTTGCTAGGAACACTAAAACCTGGGTTTTGGTACGAGGGGTAGGCCACTGGGCTTCGGCCTCAACCTTGGCCGGTTCAGGTTTCTGCTTCCCACACCCCACCCACTGTCCCAAGTACTGGACTTCTGCCATCCAAATATGGCATTTGCTCGGCTTGAGAGTTAAGCTGGCCTCTCTAATCCGGTCTAGTACTATATGACTTAAGTGTTCTTCCCATGTCTCTCCAAAAATCAAAATGTCATCCAAGTATGCACATGCATAATCTTGCAAGCTATCGAGCAGTCGGTCCTCCATACGTTTGAATGTGGCTGGGGCATTTTTCATCCCAAATGGCATGACCTTGAACTGATACAGGCCAAAACAGGGTGACAAAGGCCGAGTTGGGAATGGCATCCTGGGAAAGTGGGATCTGCCAGTATCCCTTAAACAGATCAATGGTTGTAAGGTACTGACCTCTGAGAGCTCATCTATCCTGGGCATGGGGTAAGCATCTGTTGTGGCCGTGGGTTGAAGCAATTATATTAATCTTTTAATTAATAGATAATAACTAAGCTAGAAGTAACAACATTAATATTTTTTATAGTTTGTGGTATTATGGTCGAATATGTGGTTAGAAAATACAGAAAACATTGTAATATTAAATGTATAGTTAATATAATTATAATAAGTAAACAATGCTAGCAGAATGTCAGTTTACTACAATATTTATACAATACAAAACTACAACACAGAGGCGGCTCTCTAATTAGGTGGTTTAGGTGACCGCCTAAGGCCTTGCGCTGGCTGGGGCCGCCTCACTGACCGAGGACCCGACACCAGGAGGGGGCCCAGCGCTTGCCCGGTATGCCGCCAGGTGCGAGGCCTCTCCTGGCTGCCCGGCCAGCAGTGAGCAGAGCTGCAGGCAATGTGTCTCACCGAGAACTGGCCAATCAGAGCGTTGCTGCGGGTTACCACGGCAATGCTCTGATGGTCTCGCGAGATTACAGATTACATGGTCTGCAGCTCTGCGGATATGTGACAGTGGGTTTTTTTTGTTAGTGGGGCCTCATGTTTGAGTTTCGCCTAAGTCCTCATAAAGTCTAGAGCCGCCTCTGCTACAACATATTACTTACAAAAGGCAGTTGCTACCTGTTACAATGGAGTCACATGGTACAATACAAAACATGAACAAACTTACACAGGCCCCAACCTCTGGGGCTAAACAGTCAGCTGCTATATCCTTAGGCAGTCAAGGGCAGAGCAAAAAGAGAGCCTGAATCCCTCCTACATCTGCTTTTTATTCCCAGTGTATTCCTAATTAAGGCTGTCCTGTGATGTAGCTGCCAGAAACACATGGCTTAAGGATTCCTACACACTGCCTCTAGTGGTGCCTCTAAAGCATTATGCTTTATTTTATGACATAAATCTAAATAATAATACCAATACAGAGTCTGATACCATTTTGTCAATGAGTCTCCGGTAATCTACACAGAAGCAGGTCGTGCCATCGGTACCTAGAGTACCAGAAAAGCCCAAGGACTATCAGATGTATCTATTACCCCAAGATGGAGCATCTCTTGGATTTTCTGTCTCATATGTTCCCTAACCGCCTCAGGGATTCTGTAGGAGGGTCTGGCTGTTTGGGGATTTCTTCCCAATGATTGGCCAGCACAGTGTACCTAGGTACATTTGAAAAGGTTGCTCCCTTCATGGCTAGCAATTGCTGTACCTGGATACGCTCTTGAGTGCTCTGTATATCAGTGCCATCTTAGTGTAACGAGAATATACCCCAACACGCAGGATTCAGCTGAACAGAAGACAACACAGAGGAGAGATACGTCTACCGGACCTTAGAATGGCCGGACTCGACGTAAATGAGAGGAGACAGAGTCAGGAACGATCCGAAATCAAGGGCACAGAGAGACAGCGTAAACTAGGACAAGCCGGGGTCTGGTACACAGTGAACAGCAAGCCGACAACCAGAACAGATAAGGATAAAGAGAAAACGTAGTCAGAAACAAAGCCAAAGTCAAAACGGAGAAACAAAACTGAACACAACAAGCGCTAAAGGGAACTGATACAGAAACCACGATAGGGCAGGGAGTAAAGGGAGAGGTAAGTTTAAATAGCTTCAAAACTAATGTGATTGGCTCCTGTCATATCCACACCCCCAAAAGGTAAGTGTATGGGGAGTGTGGCATGACAGGGGCCAATGGGAGCCTTTTGACAATTTAGGCTCCCACTGTCTCTTTAAGAGCGCGCCCGAGACTCGCGGCGCGCTCTTAGATTCAGGCGGGACACGTGACCGCTTCTCGCGGTCACTGCCCGCCTTGCTAGTGGAGCTGTCGGATGAGCCGCGCGCGGCTCGTGCAGCAGCAGGACCGCGCGCGGCTTGAAGAGAGGACCGCGGCCGGCCCCTGGATAAGGTGAGTAACGCTACAGTACCCCCCCCTGAGGACACGCCCTCCGGGCGGGTAGGGCCAGGCCTGGCAGGAAAACGAGAATGGTAAGAACGCACAAGGCGGGGAGCGTGAACAGCATCAGCTGAAATCCAACTGCGCTCCTCAGGCCCATAACCCTTCCAATGCACCAAGTACTGAAGTCGACCCCTAAGGTAATGAGAGTCAAGAACAGCAGAGACTTCGAATTCCTCATGACCCTCCACGGAGACAGGAGGGGGAGGCGGAGAATGCCGGGTATAGCGGTTGCGTACGTAAGGCTTCAACAACGAGGTGTGAAAGACATTAGGAATACGCAGATTCCTAGGAAGACCCAAGGCGTATGAAACAGGATTAACCTTATGCAGTATACGATAAGGACCTATGAAGCGGGGAGCCAATTTCATAGAAGGCACCCGCAGGCGAATATTCCGCGTGGAAAGCAAAACCCTGTCCCCCACAACATAAGTAGGAGCCGCCCTGCTATGCTTGTCAGCCTGAGCCTTCTGGCGAGCAGCGGCATCCACCAAAGAACGCTGAACCTGCTCCCAAGTATTACGCAAACCAGCCAAATGCTCATCCAGAGCTGGCATGCCCTGTGAGGAGAATGCAGCCGGAAGAAAAACGGGATGCTGGCCATAGACAACGTAAAAAGGGCTTTTGCCGGAAGAATCATGAGTGGCATTATTTCGAGCAAACTCAGCCCAAGGAAGTAGGTCAGACCAATTGTCCTGATGGTGAGACACAAAACAACGAAGGTACTGCTCCAGAGGCTGGTTGGCACGTTCGGCAGCTCCATTAGACTGGGGATGGTAAGCAGAAGAAAATGAGAGAGAAATACCCATTTCTGAGCAAAAGGCCTTCCAGAACCTGGAAATAAATTGACTACCCTTATCGGACACGATAGATACAGGAATACCATGTAACCGAAATACTTCTCTAGCGAAGATAAGAGCCAGTTCCTTGGATGTGGGCAACTTGCGAAGAGACACAAAGTGAGCCATCTTGGAAAACCGATCTACTATCATCAGGATGACTGTGTTACCATTTGAAGGGGGTAATTCAACAATAAAATCCATGGATAGGTTAGACCAAGGTCTCTCGGGAACTTGTTAAGGGATGCAGAAGCCCACAAGGAACTCTATGAGACATTTTCATATATGCACAAGTAGTACAAGCACTTATATAGTCAGTGACATCCTTACGTAAGGAACCCCACCAAAAATATCGAGAAACTGCTGACATCGTTTTGGTAATACCAGGATGTCCAGCAGTCTTAGTATCATGATATAATGACAGAATCTCCCGTCTCTCGGGAACATCAACAAACAATTTATCAATAGGCCTCTCGCTAGGTGCCATACTTTGTTTCGCCTGTATGGTCTGCAAGAGGGATGAAGAAATAGACAACATAGTAGTGGCTATTATCCTGTCTGGGGGAATGACAGGAGTAACATCAACCTCCTGTTTGTCGCTAGTTTCGAACTGTCTGGACAGAGCATCTGCTTTAATGTTGCGATCACCTGGCCTATAGGTGATAATATAATTGAAACGGGACAAAAATAGTGACCATCTGGCCTGCCTAGAAGATAATCTTTTAGCTTCACCAAGGTAGGATAGATTCTTGTGATCTGTAAAAATTAGAATAGGATCCTTAGTTCCTTCTAACAGATGTCTCCATTCTTTAAGGGCTAAGATAATAGCAAGGAGTTCACGATTACCCACATCATAATTCCTTTCAGCTTTGGACATTTGTCTAGAAAAGAAGCCACAAGGATGCAATGGCTTTTCAGGCGATTCTCTTTGGGACAAAACAGCACCTACCCCGATTTCAGAAGCATCAACTTCAAGAATATAAGGCAGTGAGGGGATAGGGTGCTGTAAAATAGGTGCAGAGGCGAATGTAGTTTTAAGAAAGTCGAAAGCCTGAAGTGCCTCGGGAGACCAGACACGAGTATTACCACCCTTTTTTGTCATACGGGTGAT